CTGGAAGAGGATGAAATAATATCTGATGAGTCCAACATATATTATTAGCTCATTTAGGACACGCAATGGTAAATTTGACCTCACTGCTGACATGGAAAAAAGTTGTGTAAAATAAATAGATTAAAAATACTACTTTTTAGGACCACTAGCTGCTCCAAACTGAACATAAAATACAGTAACATGCACTGTAACAGGCAAATAATTAAACATGGTCCATACAGATTTGGTCAATGGTCAATGAGATTTGACAGTAAAGATATTTACAATTAAAAAAAAAACTTCAAGTAAATTCTGCACTGTAAAAACATATTGTTGGTTTAACTTAAAAAAAGGAAGTAACCGAGTTGCCTTAAAATTTTAAATGGAAAAATTAAGTTAATACAATGAAGGAGATTAATTTAATTATCAGAAACTCAAAATATTATGTTATCTGAACCACATAAATTATTTAAGTTGATTACAAATTAAAAAAAAATAACTTTCCATTCATCAAGGAACCGTTTAACATTTATAATAATCAGAAATGTTTCTTGAACAGCAAATCATCATATTAGAGTGATTTCTGAAGGATCATGTGACACTGAAGACTCGAGTAATGATGCAGAAAATTCAGCTTTGCATCACATGAATAAATTACATTTTACAATACATTGAAATAGAAAACAGCTATTTTGAATTGAAATAATATTTCACAAATTTTAACTGTATTTTTTATCAAATAAAAAAATGCAGCCTTGGTGAGCATAAGAGACTTATTCCAAAAACATGAAAAAACAATATTATACACTGTAAAAAACAATGAGTAAAATGTACTTAATTTTTTAAGGCAAGTTTTTTGCACTGATATTTTTTGAGTAAATTTCACACATACAGTAGAATTAAGTAAACTACACTTAACTAAGTTAAGTGAAAGTAACATAAGAAATTAAGTAATTTTTATTTAGCTAATTAAAGGTTAAGTAATATCCATTCTATTTAATTGATTTTTTTTTTATTACAACATCTCACTCAAACAATATAACACTGAATTAGACCACACTTTTTAAATATATAATTTACTCAGAAATGTTTAAGTAATCAATACTTATAGTGTATGTCAAAACATCTTCATTTTCCAATAATGAATGACAATACACAATGACGGTAACATTTGATAGATCGTTTTTGTGTTTGAATGTGTCATTTTAAGTAGAAAATGAACTCGAAATGTCACAAAATGGCAAATTACTAATCCTAACAACAAAGGCAATGATACAATAATGTATGGAAAACAGTAAAAAATAAACCTCATTAATTATTCACGGCCCAGTGCATGATGGGAACACCAGTTTCAGAAAAGGTGAGCAATTTTACTTAATTTTATGATATTTACGCTTTCAATTCTACACGATTGAATTGAGTACTACTGTAGAATTTACTTAGTTTTTTTTTTAAATTCTTGCCTGAACTAACTTTTTTCATGTAAATTACATTGATAGTATTTACTTCACCACAAAATCATTGTTATCCATGGGGAAAAACACTAGTAAATCATTACAAAAAGAGAGATACAATACAAAGTATTTGCATTTGCAAGATTTCTCATTTTACCCGGCGGTTCAGAAACGAGGTCCCGGTAACCCACTGTTCTCAGACTATCATTTGTAAACCTCTTTTCTGGCTGTCTGCACAAGGCACTAACAATCCACCTGTTGGAGAGTAAGACGATACCCTCCAGAAGCTGCTGCGACTGTGAGTTTTAGAGAACACACTCGCTCGCTTACGGCCAGATGGTCCGAGGGCCGGTGAGTGAGTTATATTATTTCTCATTACAGCTCAGAGCTCACAGATGAATGATGCTTGGATGTGACTTGAAATCATTCATTTAAATGATACACTCAATCCTTCACAAGGCCATCTCGTCGTCCTCCACCCAGATTTGAAACGACATTGACCATAAACAGAGGAAATGAAGTGAAGAAGCTTACATTACCACAGCTAATATTATGGAAGTATATCAAGGTCAATCACGTTTAAAGAGTGACGCTCAGCTAAACAAAACTAAATCGCCTATAAAACATTAGATTTATGCTGGCAGTGATTGCCTGCTCGTATGTCTTCTCTCAAATAAGGCATAAATCTGAAACGTGACTTTTTACCGTACAAAATGCGTTAAATAAAAAGCTTCAGTGAAACTAAAAATGTTCTCTCCAGGTGCTTCAGCTAAACTCCCCAGCTCTATACGTCGTGTGACATCTGGACATATGAAAAATGACGAATCAATAGCAGCCTTGAATAAGCACCTCTATTTATTGAGGCAGAAGGCACAATAGCGGTGTTGTTGAAACGCAGCTCAAAACTTGACCACACGGGCCCCAAATGAATGAGGACCTATTCACAATGTGTTTGTCCTGGCCAGAGCCTCCATTTGACCCATCCATCAAGCCAGCTTTAGTTTGTCACACAGTTCTATCCTCTTCGAAATTAAACATAAGGAGACTTTCACAAATATCAACGCAAACGGGGTTTGTAGGGGTTGCAAGTTATTTAAGCACATTAAAGGACAACTCCGGCGCAAAATGAACCTTTGGTCTAATTACACATTGCTACCTAGTCAACCGTTATCTGAGATTTGTTTTCATGATTGCCGAATGTAAATTGTTTTATCTCTAAAAACAGTTTAGCCTATAACGCTAGTATAATGCTAGTATATAGGGCACAGAGTAATGACAAATAAATATTGCTTGTTATTACAACTAACAAGGCTCAAAATAGCCCCACAGTAACACGGTAGCATAATAAGGGTCCCTACATTCAAACCGAAGCATTGAGAACTTTTTCAGTGTCCATACCGTTTAATAAGAAGATATTTTATACACACAGTCAACTTCGCGAATACAGGAAGAAGCCATCTTTGAAAAATAGTCTCTACCAGTCGATCTACGAACACCGATCCAAGTGCGCTGAACTGTGCAGAATCTCATATAGTCCGTTGTTTCCGGAAGAAACACAAACACGAACCGTTTTCTTCTCATCAATATGTACACGTAGACCACTGTTCACGCTCACCTTATCACCTTATTCACATCTCACCAGCGCACTTGGATCGGTGTTCGTAGATCGACTGGTAGAGACTATTTTTCAAAGATGGCTTCTTCCTGTATTCGCGAAGTTGACTGTGTGTATAAAATATCTTCTTATTAAACTGTATGGACACTGACAAAGTTCTTAATGCTTCGGTTTGAATGTAGGGACCCTTATTATGCTACCGTGTTAGTGTTTTTGAGCCTTGTTAGTGGTAATAACAAGCGATTTTTATTTGTCATTACTCTATGCCCTAATATACTAGCGTTATAGGCTAAACTGTTTTTAGAGATAAAACAATTTACATTCGGCAATCATGAAAACAAATCTCGGATAACGGTTGACTAGGTAACAATGTATAATTAGACCAAAGGTTCATTTTGCGCCGGAGTTCTCCTTTAAGAGCTGCTTTTAGAAAATGCACTTACAATTGAAAGATAGTAGTGCATTTGACTTTGACCAAATAGGAAGGTCTTAAAGTCCCAGTGGTTTTCTTTAGTTATTGTTTTTCTTTAGTTATTTAATCACTCTTGCATCGACATGCGCAATGCTTTCAATCAACTTTTTTTTTTTAACGTTGATGATTTTGACTGTTCATTGCATAAGTTACACTTGAGAGTCTCAGTCACAGTCAAGCAAGACCACCAAGACGCACCTCCGTGAGATCTTTCCCAAGCTCAAGGAAAACCCTAACAAGCAGAATGAGAAACAGGTGATGAAATCATGGGAGCTGGCAGCCAACCTCTGCTGTTCAATGCAATATATTATCTCCCGAAACCCAGTACTCTAAATGCAAAGGAGATGCACGCCTTCTTTAAATATTGCAATGCACAACTCAAATGTTTGACCCTGAATAAAACAAGGCACACATGATGAACAACACCAACTAGCATCAAGTCAACCATGAACTGAAAACCTCGTACTAAAGACATCAGTAACTGTTTCCTCAGAGAACAATTGGTGCAAAGCATGCAATAGCTCTTAATAAAACGCCTAAGAGATATGAATGACAGAAGAGAACCTGTAAACCTCACCATACAGAGGCATAAATCTGGAAGCTGTGTTTTCCTGCTCAAGAAGCAGACAATTTATGCATCCTTGAGCGGGAGCCAAGTCATTTTAGCAGACTTATCCAATACAGCAATAAAACTTCACAATTCAGAACCTACGCAACCTTAATTTATTCCTGTCAGAAAGTTTAATTGTACATTTCTTTTGCACGGAGACATAAAACATCTTATCTTCTGAGTTACAGGAATCTAACGGCCAATGAATCAAACGGCAGGAAGATGTCACAGCGTGGAGTGCTACCATCTTGCCGTCAGTTGTGTTTTCCTACAGTGATGCATTGCTACAGTCATGCATCATGAGTTGTTGTTAGTGTTAGAGTGAACGGTCAGCATAATTGATTGCTCCTAAGTCATTTTATCTAATGACAGAAACGTCCTCCGACTCGCTATTGATTTCTGAATTGGAGTTATGAAACAAAATTATCTGACCTCACCGATCCTGGACTTGGTTGTCCTGCAATGTTTGGAACAGAGCCTAACAACCTATCAAAAGAAATGATGAAATTACAAAATAAACTTTGGAAAATTGAGACTTCGTCTAATGGGAGCTAATAAGCTAAGACTCTTTGCTGTTGGGAAAAACACTAGAGCTATGCAATTTAATTAAAAATGTGTTTTTCTGGCGTGACTTTGGCCGTTTTTGTTGGATTCGTATAGCGAACTGCAGTTCATGATTTTGGACGTCAAGAGTCTTGGTTTGCAGCGATCTTATCGTTACTGAAACATGTCCTGAAATCAAGAAATTATGAAACGCAATAATTATAAATCAACGCAGAGATCTCGGTGCGCCCTTGACCTTTTAAGCGAGATGATTACGGTAACAAAAAAGCTTTTTGTGTGTTCATAATTGGCCGTTTAAGCGAGCTG